TTTTTTTTGTAATACAGACTACAAAGCAGTAGAGACTGACATTATCTTCTTGGTTCCTGGGGATATACAAAAGGCACTAAACCAAACCAAACCAAACCCATTGCCATCGAGTTGATTCCGACTCACAGAGACCTTACAGGACAGAGTATTACTGCCCCACAGGGTTTCCAAGAAGCAGCTGGTGGACATGAACTGCTGGCCTTTTGGTTAGCAGCCATAGCTCTTAACAACTACACCACCAGGCACTAGCTCTTAAATAGTTGCGGGCAATTCCCTCCCAGAAGTTGTATAAAAATTTTAGGGGACAGCCATAAGATGCTTATGTTCATGAGAAAGAGGACATGGATTTAAAAATATTTTAGGAACACTTATTTGGAGACCAGGAATAAACATACTGAATTTACTTTTTCAAGGATGACTCATTGGCAGAAAATCAACGATACGCATGCAACTCTTATTGGCTTTTTAGATAACATATAAAAAGTTATTGAACAAAGGCCAGTGAACTAAGGAGGGTGACTCTGTAAGTGACCTGACTTATTAATCTGTGTTAGCAAACCAGCCATAAGTGCCTCCCAATAATACACTATACTCCTGCTACAACCAATCAGTCCCTAAAAGGATACTAGAATCACTATTAATCTATCTCAATTGTTAATAATGTCATTGCAGTGGTTTTGGGAGTTTGTTTTAAAAGGAATTTCAATGAAGACTGAAGTTGACATCCACCAGTAAAACAAACCAAAAAAAAAAAAAAAAAACATTAAAAACAAACAAATCCACCCTCTAGCCCCGACCACAGGCTCTGGGAGAACTACTGTTCCTTTCACCTGAGATAGCTCAATTTTCTAGGTCACTTCACACCTCTCAGGGCAGAAGACATAGAACAGAACCATTAAAAGGAAAACATCAAAATCCAAACAAGATCCCCAAGACATTTTTGAATTGACATCGCTTTGATTTTTAGAATAAACTATGATGACACATAGAATTAGGCTTCATGAATGAGGTGAAAGCACTTAATACCAGAGCTTCCAACCAGTGCATTCTGGTTTGAAGCCCTGATAACAATCACCTGGGGATCTTGTTAAACTGTAGATACTGAATTACATTTTAACAAGATCCCCAGGATTCCACCCCAAACATAATGAATCAGAATCTACAGTTTAACAAGATCCTTAGGTGATTCTTATCAGGGCTTCAAACCAGAATGAACCAGTTCAAGGCCCTGCTAATACTTAATAGAGAAGAGGCTCAAACTTGTACACAAAAGAAACCTTGATTAAAAGCAAAGTGCTCAAATGTCCAAGATGTGGAAGGCAGGGCCAAGATAGCGGAGTAGTCAGATGCCTCCAGTGGTCCCTCTTACAACAAAGACCCAAAAAAAACAACTGAATCGATTATATATGACAATCTAGGAGCCCTGAACATCAAAGGCAAAGTTGAGGAATCGGACTGAGTGGCAGGAGGAGGGAGAGACTGTTTGGAAGCAGCGAGGAGTTGCCAGACCTGAGCCGATGGGAGCCGGAGCCCTTCAGGCCGGATCAGCTCGTGGCACTCAGTGAGCCAAGCAGCAGTGCTTGGGAGGCATTTTCCCACATTGGGAGAGACCCAGT